TATTTTAATTCATTTATATTTTAAATGGGACAAAACACTTAAGCTTTTTGCTTAAGAGTTTTTTTTACCATTTTCATAATTTTTACAATTGTATTGTTATAATAATATTTAATTTTGTTATTATGATTTCAACTTTTTACCCAAGTCATTTGTTTTATTAGGAAAATTAATTATTGGAATGCTTAAGGTCAAACACCTTACCGTAGGCACTTATGAGTGCAATATTGTATTTACAGTGTGATTTTTTGTAAAGCCTCAGCCAGAAATCTCAGCAATTATTAGTTAATATTAACAAACAACTCAACTATCTCAAAATGCCACAGACCAATTAGATAATGCCTAAAACTTGATCAATTACAATGCGCGTTCGTTGCCTAAGTCTTTCGTTGTCAATGACGCCCGAGCGATTGAATCATATGGAATGCATAATAGAAGCAAAAAAAAAAAAAAAAAGCAGGAAAGTAAAACCAAAATAATTTGCATTTATATTTCCAGATAACCCGCACCGTTTCATGATGATTAGCGAACGCCACAAAACCCTCAATTTGCTGTCAATATTTTGCGGCTGGCTCTGCCTATATGCCGCCTGCCACGCCCCCTGTGCAGCTGATGAGGTGTTTGAGGTTTTGCCACAAACAGCAGCCGAGGCAGCAGCCGCTGCGAAGAGGACGGCTGAGGCTGCCAGTCAACAGGATGAAGTGAATGTCTTGACGTTCGTAACGCCCAATGCGACGACAGGTGAGCCAAGTTGGGTAGATGGAGTGGGGGGAGGTAGAGCTGCTGACAGTGGGGTGCATTTGTTAGCCTGATGCGAGCTGCCAATGAACCGCATGAAATGCCGCAAATATGAAAGATTTGCACTTTGATTTTGTTTCGGCCGCCAAATGCCGACATAATTGACACGACCACAAGATCGGCCATGGCCAGAGACGAGACGCAATCACCTGTCCACCTGTTTGCTCTGCAACAGTCACATCGCGTGAGCAGCGCAAGAGAGTGAGAGAGAGGAGAGTGCAGTGGGGAAGGGGGGTGGGGGGGCTATTTTAATGACCAGCATTAGGAGATCCAAACAATTTTAACGCAATCATGCGCGGTATTTTAATGTGGTGCAGCGCAAATGAAAGTGAAAACGACTTGGGACTTGGGCAATTATGCAAGGATAAATGGGAATAGCAAGAGAAATATACGAAAGACATACATGCATATACAGAGTGAGTGTAGTGCATATATGTATGTAAGTGTGAATGGCCAGCGTGGCTCGGTGCCGCCCAGAGCCATTTAATCTTTGGCAGGCACAAAAACCAATTGAGCCAAACAAATCGAAAATTGCCAGCAACAAGATCAAAATGCTCAAGTCCGGGCGCACATTTCCTAGTTGGGTGCAGGTCCTCACGTTGATCTACGTCGCATTCAAATGGAAAGCGATTTGTCTGGCTCTAGCTAATAGCTTATACAACTACCATGGAGAGTCTCTATGTATCCAGCCTCAGTCTCAACTCAGTCTCAGTCGCCAATCCCCGTTGATCAGTCAATCAGTTGTTTGCTGTGTTGATTGCCTGCCTCGACTGATGGCCTCCAGTGCACTGCAGTGCTGGCTGGCCATGATCTTCCAGCAGCTGATTGCCGTTTGGCCGTCAGGTGGGCGCACTCCGCCATTTTAGACCGCCTCAAGGCAGCTTGAACTATGACTTCAGCTTTATTGGATGGCCTGGCACCAGTCATAAGTGCCATACTTTGTCATGATTCCCACAGCTGAATGGGAGGTCACTCACTCTTTGCTTGAGCAGCGGCTAATTCAGTTGTCTTTGGTGGAGGCCTTCGATGAACGAAGAAGAGTTGAACCGAGAAAATCACTAGTTGAATATACAGATAATTATTATATATAATTTATGATGTCAGAATGACATTCAATAATAATATCAATATGCAATAACGAATATGTAGTCCAACTATTTCACTCAGAAATGTATATAAATTTGTTCAGCAATGCAAATGGAAATTTTAAAAAGAATTTTATATATACTGAATTTTTAAATAAATATAGTTTTCTGTTAGACTCAAATTCCTTATTTATAAATTATACATATACTGTGCTCCAGCAACTACTCCTACACGCAATTCTCAGCTGAATAGAAAATATTTTTTGGGTATACCCTAAACTCATTAGAAAATGGGAAATTAAGAAAATCAAATGTATATGACAGACAAAAATAGGCTTGGCAGACCCCATAATACTTTATATATAATAATTATATATATATTCTTGATCTGGGCGACAAGCTGAGTCGATATAGTCATGCCCGTTGGTCTGTATGTTCGTATGCTTGAACACGTCGATCTCAGAAGATTTAAGAGCTAGATACTCAATATGTTTGTTGCTATGTTCGTTCGGGTGACCCGCATCTGGAGTTTGTTTCCAAAAATCGATAACTACTCCCGTTTTTGTATTATCGATTAACAGCCTTATCGAAAATCAGTTAAAAATTATATCTCTACATTTTTAGAGCTAGAGTCGCTAAGTTATAAATATAGACTCGAATATATTTTATAAAATTTGGAAGGGTTAAGGGGTTTTCTCGTAGTCGACGAGTCTCAACTAGAGTACTCTTACTTTACTCTTACTTGTGCTGTGCATCTTGGCCAGATGCACGGTGCCAAAACATTTGTTAACACTTTAACGAGCTATGATTGGGCGGCTGCCATAGCTGCCAGGGGGCATAGCTCGCTCCGACTGGCTGGGTAGCTGGCCTGGCCTGCAGACCAGTTTGATAGGGAGCAATTAAATGTTCCACTTAATTAATGCAACTGTTGCTTCGACTCATTGCAGCGCCACGGGTGGACCCCAACAACAACAACGAATGGCGACCGCTGGGCCACGGGGATCCACTGCAGAAGGATCCCACCTACGACTACAGTCCGCCGGCGCTGGATCGGGTGCGCTACTGGGCGGAGAGCAATGCGAGTAGCAGCCAGGATGCCAGGCAGAAGCTGCCCGCGGAGCTGTTGCGCAACAAGACGAAGAGCGAAATTCTGCTGCTGGGCGTGGCTGGCGAACGGCCCAGGCCGACGCAGCAGCAGAAGCAGCAGCACCAGTCGATGCCATCCAAGTATGCGCCCATACGCAGAAGCTACTATGCGCCGCAGCAAATGCAGCAGATGCACCAGCAGCACCAGCAGCAGCAGCAGATGCAGTTACAACAGCAGCAGATGCTGCACATGCCACACACGCATCTCATGCCGCCGCCCATGCTGATGAAGGGCATGGGTCATGTGGAGTATCGCCACAACATCATCAACTCGCCCAGCAGCAGCTCCTACATGAGCTACAGCTCGCCCAGCACCAGCAGCAGCTACAGCGGCCACAGCAGCCACAGCAAGCCCTCCAGCAGCACCACGCACTACTACAGCAGCACCTCGAGTGCCACGGCGCCCTGGTATACGCACTCCCAGCCGAGCCTCTCCAGCCTGTCTAGCCTCTCCAGCATGTCCGGCATGTCCGGCATGTCCAGTCTGTCCAGCATGGGCGTAACGCAGCCGCATCGCATGAGCTATGCGGATGCCCATCACCAGGAGTCCATGCAGCACTACAGCTTCTCCAGGCCACAAACCGCGAGCTATGCCCCCAACTCGATCCATGGGCATGGCTCGGGCACCAAGCCCGTGCGCAAGCCCTGGCTGCACGAGCTGCTGCAGAAGGAGCTGGTCAAGCCGACCATGAAGCAGCGCATGAAGCCCACAATGCCGGCGACCAAGTATCTAATGGGCACCACCAAGCCGCAGTCGATGGCCAGCGCCACACGGCCGCCCTTCACCTATGCGCCCGTCACCTTTGTGCCTGGTCCACCCACTGTGGCCACGGCCACGGCGAGCAGCACCCAGGCTGAGCTGTATGTAACGCCCACGATGGCCATGCCCACGGCCAGCGTCGGCTTTCGACCCATGCTCATGTCCAGCGCTCAGCCAACGGCACCAGCTACAACAACAACAACAACAAGCACAGCTTTGCCCATTTATAGGAATCCCACCACGACGACGACGACAGCGACGACGAGGACGACGATGAGCAGTTCTCGGCTAATGATACCACAAACGAGCAATCTGGCCCAGCGACCCACTGTGGCGCCCGCCTTGGAGCTAACCACCGATGCGCTCTTCTCGCACTACAAACAGCCGCCCAAGCCGCTGCTCGGACCGATGTATCTCATTATCGAAGGTCACTCGAAGGTCAAGACATATGGACAGAACGAACTGGATCCGCACAGTCCCAAAATTGTGCCCGTCATCTCGAAGCGTGAGCCAGTGGTGCGAATTGCGGATCCCAACGAGAAGCGCGGAACAGTCGAGAGTTATCAGGTGAAGCATTTGCATACAAAGACAATGCCAACAACAACAACAACAACAACAACGACGACGACGACGACGACCACGCCAACACCAGCAACAACAAGAGCAACAACAACAAGAGCAACTACAACAAGAGCAACTACAAGAGCAACAACAACAACAACAAGAGCAACCACAGCGCCAACCACAGTGCGGCCTCGTCTAAGCGCCACAACAACGCCAGCTGCAGCCTCGACTATCCAGAGTCCGGCAGCGAATGGTGGTGGGGTTCATGATCTGCTTAGCCTGCTGGACAACATGTTTGCCGATGCGCAAGATATAGTCTCGACCAGCTCGCTGGCCACGCCCACAATGGGCAGCAGCAGCACCGTCTTGAAGCCGGTGACAATAAAGACGAAGCTGCAGCCGCAGCAGCCAGAGCCGCGCATAGGCAGCCAAGGGGCGAGCATAGAGAGTCTGCTGGAGACTGCTGACACTAATGATGATGATGATGATGATGATAATGAGAAGGTCAAAAATGGTTCACAGATCGCGACCAGCACGGAGCCTGAACAGCCGCCGCGTGCTACCCGGCAAATCTTTGACTATGATCAATTGCCCGAGTCGCGTATTAAGGCCGAGGCCAAAGACGAAGCTGACTACAATGATGATGATGATGATGCTGACGATGATGATGAGGAGGCTGGCGAGTTGTTAGAGGATGGCGAACTGGACAATCTGGAAGATGTGAGTGAAGACGAGACGTCAGATAGTGAACATAATTTACTCAAACGCATCGATAAATTTGTCGATGATGTGGACGATGATGGCGATGATGATTTGGACGACTTGATTGAGGGTCTAGCACCTGGCCAAGCTAACGACGACGATGACGACGAYGACGACGGCGACGATGTCGAGCAGCGTCATAAACATTAATTCAGCATTTTTTTTTGTGTGTTTCTAAAAACTGCGCTCTATACCAAATCTATCAGAAAATTTTCATACACCTAATTATTTAAATTGTAAATAATAGTAAGCTTTAAAGAAGTTGATGCTGCTAGCTTGTAGTCTTTTAATATCATGTATTGTTTGTTGTTCGTATTGTAATTTAAATTAAATTATCGAAAAATGTCTTGTTTTTTAGTTGTTAAGTGTGCAATAATTGACAATAAATATTAATAATTTATTTACAAATTATATCTTAAATTTGAATTTGAAAAATGGGCGAATCTGTTTTACAGATAACAGCAAGCAGTTAACAGCAACATTTAGCTAATGCAACAACCTATCTTAGCAAAGACTACCACCTTATGCGGATCGTTACTCGCTCTTTCATTAAATCTTCTCTTATGTTTTCGCTGCTGCCTTAATCAACTGGATATAGTTGCGTGCTCTCTTTCGCTCCCACACTGCTTTAGCTGACATACAAACGTTTGTATGCATGTTGTCGACGAACGCGCTCTGCAATTTCGCTTTGTTTATTTCTGTTTCGATTTTCAAAGCAACAGTTGAGAATTTGACTTCGAAGGGAACGGTAAAACAGACCGCTTCCAACGCTCTCTGGAATAAGCTCCATGCGCGTCGTGGGTGACAAATAACAGCAACTACTCTACACACAATTGTATGACAAGTGTTTAAATTAAGCTAATCTGTATACATATAGTGAATATCTCAATTCAAATTAGATCAACTACAGTTTTACGAGTGCATTGATTTAAGCGGTGAATATGAATGCTTTGTGTATTTGTTTTTGTTTACCTAGCGTCAAACTGACCGCTAAAATCGCAACGTTGTTGCTGTTTCATTTTGTTCGTTGCTTCGCTTTCGCTTTTGTTTGCATATTGATGAGTGAGTGAGAAGTCAAATAACTGAAGACCGAAACAATTAAGTGTAACTATGTTGCAGCTTGTCTCTCTTGCTCTTGCGCTCGCTCTCTCTATCTGTTGACTGTTCCATTGGAATTGGAAATAGCAAATTGAAGCAACAAAAACATATGTAGACAAACACGTGTAGTTGTAGCCCTTGTCTCATGAGTCAGAGGCAGTTGTGAGAGGGCCTCCCGATAAGTTACAGTGTAAAAAATAACGAAAAGAAGAAATCAGTCAACTATCTAACTTTACTGAACCGCATTTGGACTTGAAAGAATGGCTAAATATGTCGGTGTTAATATACAATATATACATATGTACATACATGAATATGTATGCGTATGTGTGATGTATACACATATGCCTATTTCGAATAACCTTGATTTGTCTGCTAGCGTCTTAAAACAGATTGAACAAATATTTTGAGTAGTTCGCGTCTCTCGCCAAACGACAACAAAAAACTAACCAATCAAACTTCTAAGCAGAAAACAGGTTCAGCGATCCATCCAACGTGCAAAAACAGATAAACAGCTCGACGAGAGAACCAGAAAGAGAAGCATAGGGAGAGTGCGAAGATGAATGAGAGAAATGCATGCAGCAAACAGACTGCAATGAAACTGTGTTTTTCCTCTGAACTTAGCACAAAACCAATTGGAAGTCAAATTCCATTGATGTAAAAAAAAAGAAAAAAATGCTGGTCTGCCTGTTACGAGTTCTTATCAGCCAAATGTCAGACGTCGCTGATAGCATTTCGGTTGGCGCAGACACCAGTTGCCGGCTGATAAGCTGTTCAATTCGATTGTGTGTGGCCAAGCATCCGTTTACATTGTAAAGAACATACATTTGAATCACTGTGTCTGAGCGCCCACTTTGTAGATCTAATTGGAAGTGAGATAACACGTTTTAACGGTCATGTATATAATCCATGCTAAACAATTGAACCTTATCGCCGCATCTTAAGTCAGCTAGGCAATCAAATTGGCCTGCATTACTGACCTACTTAAGCTCTGGGCTTTAATTCTCGCCAATTTCGCTGGCTTGGTGACCGGTTTGCCCGTGTAATTAGCTTACTGACCATGTGCTTGAATTAATTGCAAGCACACAAAAAATATATAAATATAATGTTAGAAGAGCTTTCAAGNTACTGTTTGGTCCATTGCTGATATGTTTAGGTCCTTTTTCAGTTGAGTAGCCGGCTTAAAAGGATCCTTTTACTCTCGTAAATGAGACGAGTGACATGATTTTGGGTCAGAACTCAGCGCAATCTGCGCTTTTCATCAATTTTTTTTATGGAATAATGCATTGTGGATCATTTTATTTGAACAACCCATCAAATGACCAACTTTCCTGTGAAAATTTTGAGCCGAAATCAACTTTTTGATGAGATTGGGTTGTTCGGTGGTGTAATGCTCTTCACGACCCATTTTTTTTGAAAATTTTCACAAATTCTGAAAATTTTTTAATCAAAATAGATATATAACCAACAAATCTCATCAATTAGTGCTTTTGAAGATATTCAAATCTGCGAAAAATATAGATTTTCACTCGAAAAGGGTTAGTGGTGCTATTATTTTTTTCGGCATTTTTACGACTTTTTTGAGAATTTTTTGAATTATATAAAAACGATTAATATTTTTGGGATAATTCTTGCTTGTTGCGATTATTAATTGTTTTCTGCTTAYATACAAGAAAAAAKTAGATCAATAYATTGATAAATGCACCTAGGAGAACTTCTTAAACTTTGCGTTTGCAAGTGGTGCTATTTTATTTTTCGCAACTGTATATGTATATTTAATGTGATTTTTTCACTGTAAAAATCAACAATTACGTAATATGTACATACAAACAAATACACTCAATCGGAAGTGTATTGATCAGTCTTATTGGACTTGTTATAAGAGTACAAGATATCGTAATGTCAATGCCCTGCTTTAAAGTATAAGAATTGTATTAAAAAACGCAGCAAGCACCTTGACAATGTAAATATTCACACATACGCGCACACGTATAAATACATGTAAATATGTATATATAAATACATTTATTCTTTGTCTTCTACATGGTTGGTATTTCCACATGTGTTGGCTGAGTGTGGCTTTTGAGCCGCATTCTCATTCCGCTTTGCTACGCGTTGCTGATGAGCCATAAGAGCTGCCTAATGAAATCGCGTCACGATGAGTCGACTGTGTGCACGCAAGCATGCACAGCGTATAAGAACTGTTAATTGGCATACGCATGAGTATAAGAGCAGTGCAATGTTATTAGATCAACAGCTGAATGGTATACGTAATGCAATTACATGAGTAAGCGTATAAGAAGAATTCTATGCTGGGTGTAATCGTATAAGAGAGGTGCAATGTTATTAGATCAGCAATGTACAAGAACAGTTCAATGATATACTAACTGCTCTGATACAGTTCAATGCGTGTGGTAACACTTTGTTTTATCTGCTCCAATAAGGAGCCCATAAACCTTTTATAAGTCGTGATAAGCGGCGATATAAATCGTATTTGCTGTTTACGTACATATATTAAAAGTTAAATATAGTCGAAGCAATGTTCATTAATTAAATTGCTTTTATTCTGATTTTGTTTAGCTCAACAAATGACGTAGAATATTCGCTACTCAAGCAATTATTATATTTTATTGTGATAACCCCACCAAACAGCGGTGTGATTCAATGCTAGATCTCTTTTAAAAATAAACCAAAATATATGTATATTAAGACACTCATATTTGCTTGCAGTAATTGCTTAAACTAATTTCTAATCATATTTCTGCTCTGTCAGAATATCAATAATAAATAAGTTACGTGAACGTGAGTTGCGAAAGCGAATCGTATCGCAAACTTAAAATATATACTAATTCCCTATATATGTACATATAATATGTATTCCCATACATATAGTGTGTATAGCTAGTATATCAATTTTGGAATAGTCTTGAGTGTGCGTTTGCTTGTTTTCTATATATATTAGAGAATGTGCTGCTATTATTTAATTTTTGCTTAATAAAACTGCCCTCGAGCAGCTTTTGTTTTTGCGTTGAATTTCATTTAGTGATGCATTAGATTAAGAGCTGACCAGAAACAGCAAACTTAGCTAATCAAAAACAATTTCACTAAATTGCTCTTTGTTGGGGTTTGGAGTGTTTAGAACAATTTAAAATATTTTATTGTGAATGTTTCATTTGATTGCTGATTAAGCACATCTTAAAGCATTTGTTTATATGTTTAGAACTGACTTTATTGGATTAAATGCAACTTTACAGTGCAGCAACTTTCTAATCAGATTTATAGCAAAGTCCATTTCTTATTGAAAAGCTTTAGTTTCAATGCTGCTTCAGCTAAAATTTTGCTAAGCAGCTCAGCATAAAATTTGCGAAAAAAAAAGTCAATGGTTCAGGTCAAGGTCTGTTTTAAAAATAGGAATATATAAAATATATATAAAATATTTAAAATTATAGGTCTATGTACAAATTACTCAAAGCAATGAAATAACCAACTAAAAGTTAATAACTTTTAGTAAAAACATTCTATCAAAGGAGGAAAAATTAAAAATTTAAATATGTAATAATGTAGCAATTCGGCGGTACTGACTATATAATACTCTATGTATTTAGATGCGGAATACATTTATTTTAGATTGTTTTAGCAGATTTGGTAATGCCCCAATGGGCGTAATTTAAAAAAAAAAAAAAATAAATAAATAAATACATCTATTTTTTCTCGCCCTAACAAAGGCTAATAAATTTTGTAATTTTGTTTGGTAAGTGAATAGAGGAAGTCAACAGAACTCTGTAATTAATATTTTAAGCTGGATGTAGACATACCTACTATAGATTTTTCGGTTTGGTTTGTTAATGCGAGTATTTATTCTAAATTTTACAATTTTAACAGTTACAATATAATATATAATAATAGTCTTACTGTTATACAACTTGTGGTATTTTCAAATTTGTCAAGCCCCTAGTGGGCGTATGGGGAGTATATAGTACTTCAAGAGTCTAGGCTACAATAGAACAAACGGACGGATGCACAGTAGGGCGGATATTGCACAAAACTAATATACCCATTCACTTCATGAGCGTATAAAAACATAGCAAGAGCTTGCAAATATTTAAATTGCAAGAATCTGCATATATGAACTTTAGCATGCAAATCAATGATAATTTGCTCCAATTAGAAATAGAATTTCAAGTCATTTGCTGTTAGTATCTTGAGGTATGAAGATCCTTTGCACCCGTGCCAGTTTAAGATAATGTCATTGAGATAACTTAGTCTGACATTCAGCGTCGATTGCTCCATTAGAATTTGCAATGCAAATTGACTACTTGCGATTTGCGATTTACGTTTAGCGATCACCTCGCGTGTTAAACTATGCACTATAGCTAATCTTCTCGATCGCGTAATGCCTGTTACCTGGCTCGGGCCAGACCGAGCACATGCAACTGCTGCTGCTGCTGCTGCTGCTTATCACAGTTCAGGTTTAGAAGCCAGCTAACAGCTTCCAGTTGCTGTGTAAATATGTTTCTCTACAATATGATTACATATCTAGTGGATAGGTGAATATTAATTAACTACACTGTATGCCCGTGTATCTCTCTCGCTGCAGCGCTCGCTGCCTCTGTTCCTCTCTTTCCTTCTCTGTTAAAGTGCATGAACTTTAGCCGCAAATTGTTGCAAACCAGCTGCGGTTTTATGATACATGAGAGTTTTATTTTAGACAATTATTTTCAACTGTTGAACGATCGTTGCGATCTGCTGGCTTAGCTCAAGAGCCGCGTTGATAAAGCGCTAATAGCTGCAGCAAAAACAAACTATGATTTTTCTTATCATTTGCAAAAAGTTTAGTGCTCTAAAGGAATGCGAACGATAAGATTCGAAGAATGTAAAAATAAATAGAAATAATAAAATAATAAAAGAGGAATCGAAAGCTAATCGATGTGTTTCTTTTTTGATAAGCACAGCCGTGCAGCTATTGACAACGCGAGAGCCATGACAGCGACCAAAGATCCCAAGGATCAGGTGCCCAAGACAACGACGCAGCCGGCCCAAAAGAATGGCGCCGCTGGGGGATTAATGAAGCGCCTGCGACGCTCCGCCTCTGTAACGGAACATAATCTAAACAATCTGCGCAATCGCAACTCCACGCAGCATCTGTTCGATCAGCATGGCAATCCGATTGATCTGCGTCAGTATCGCAAGGTGCTGGACAAGGATGAGAACGGCAACGGCACCAGCGAGAAGAAGCTGCGCTACAGACGAACCCAGAGCGTGACACGAGCCGAGGAGATCTCCAACAAGGAGGCCAAACTGCGCAAGGCACAGCCCGACAGATCGTGAGTAAAGAGAGAGAGAGAGAGACGCAAGCTGATTTGCTATGATATCTATCCTATCGAACGAATATTTTGCAGCATTCATCGTCCCCGCGATTCGTTGTTCTCCTGGAGCTCAGGATTTACCAACTTTACGGGCCTGGTCAACTGGGGCTTTCTGCTGCTCTGCATAGGCGGTTTGCGTTTGGGTCTAGAGAATCTGATCAAGTGAGTAAAACAAAGAGAGAGATGGTGAGAGAGATAGAGAGAGAGAGACAATCCTAACTAATATCCTTTACAGATACGGCATACGCATCAATCCTATTGATTGGTATTTCTTTGTGAGCGGACGCGATCAGGGCGAAGGTCATAATGCTCTATTTCTAATCTTGTGTAAGTATGCTCTCTGCTCGCATATCTCTAGTTGGACTAATCAATAATGAACCTTCCTCTTTAGACTCTTTTGTGCACATCTCCCTCTGTTTGGCCGTCGAAAAGGGTTTGGCCCTGGTAAGTACATGTTTTACTACTCACTTTGTAATTTTTGTCGGCCCAGTTGGTACAATCGATGACCGCATTCATTCATTAGCGCCCACATCGTATTTTGGCGAACTTAGTCTTAAAGGCTGCTGTTAAAAACTTGAAATTTCCAATTTGAATTTATGGTCGAAAAGAGATTAGTTTTAAACAGCTGCTACATGGCTGAACCGAGAACTGTTCCAATTGGATGTATGCCTTTTGCTTAATCAGCTGACGACAGAGGGCGCTAAGCACACATGATTTGATTTGCAAAACTAGTTGAAATTATTTCTTAGTTATTATTTAAGCAAAGTGATATAAAATTCGGTTCGTCACAAGTCTCATGCAGTTTCAATTTCAGTTCAGCTCAAATTTTCGAATTCTCAATCAATCCAACTCCATATTATACCGTCTTTCAAACATAACTATGTATTGATTATATTATTACACTTATAAACAAATCTTGTATGACAATTAATAGTTCATGCATTGAGTGTGTGTGTGTGTATATGTGTTATTTTGCAAATGTATGAGAGCAGCAGTTGGACTTATGCAATGCGTACGCCCGCCTGGTCACAATATTTCATCACCATTTCCTTATAGTCCATCTCCAGTGGTGTAATTAAATTGGTCACCTCGGCTGGCGACACAGTCTGCGACAAGTTGGACAACGCTCTGGCCAAGTATAGGCGCAAATCGGTCACATCGGCCAGGTGGTCCACTTGTTTGGGCTGCGCAAATGTTAGTTGAGAGAATGCGGCCTGGTAGCCAGGCTCTGCATCGACTACAACGTCTGTGTCAGCGTTGCCATCAAGTCCATCCAAGTAGGGCAGCTTTTCGGGCGGGCGCTCGAACAGGTCAATTAGTGAGTGCAATAGACGGGGCCAGAAGGTTTTGTATTGTCCAGAGTAGAGTTCGGGGCATTCGGAGAGCAGCTTGCTAACGCCTACAGCGACAATTTTGCGTTCCAGTTCCTTGCTGACCTTAGCCATGTCCGTTATAAATACGCGCTCCAGCAGCATTCCAAACATGCCCGGCTGTATCTGCTCGATAAGCTGCACCAGCGGAGTGCCACCGACTTTGACCACATAGAAGCTGAAGAACACAATGATGCCATTCAGATACTTGGCGGTCTTTGAGAGCGACAGTCGTTGAAAGAGCAGGCCAAAGATTTGCCGCATGTTCGTCTGCAACTCGTCGGCGTTGTAATAGTACAACAAATTCTGAAGCAGATAAAAACCCTCGTGATCGTTTGCCCTGGATGCGATCATTTTTTGGAATATGCCCAAAATGCCATTCTGAAATAATAAAATTGTTAACGATTGCTGCGACAGTTCATTATGGTTTTTAAACTTGAGTTACCAATTTGCCAAGCGCTTGGATCTGTGCAGAGCCTTGCTTGATGAAGATCGACAGCAGACGGATCAAAGGCGTCACATTGCCACGGCGATCCCATAGAGGCGGTGCCAACAGGCAAGGGAAGAGCGCCCAATAAGGTTCCGGTATGGGTCCAGTGCCCTCGCGCACTTCCATCAAAACAGACAACATTTGAAATACGTAGGGCATAAATTCCGTGATGTCCTGTTGCAAGATGCCCTGGAAAACGGGAAAGAGTGCTTCCTCAAAGGAACTAACAGCCGTAGCATCCGCTTGGCAAACGATTCTGGAGAGAAAATTAATTAATTAAATACACTTGCATTTCTTGAAAAAAAAAAAAAACATACTTAATCGATAGAGCCAGAGTCTCAAACAGATAGTGATTGAACAGCGGGCGAGACGGATTCTTAGCGACAAACGAGAGGATTTCGGTGAGGCGTGGCAACGCAACGGCCATATATGGCAAAGCTCCCGCTTGCAGCACATGGAAACTGCGCATGATCGCTAAGCAATAGAAACAAACGATATAATAAATGTGTCCATATTGTATATGTTGCGTGTGACCTTGAACTCACCTTTCATTACGTACTCGTTCTCCGCTGATCCAGTCAGCGAAAGCGTTGCAAACAATCCGCTAACTAGTTGATCGGAGTGAGGACCAATTACCTGGGGGCCAAACAACAGCGTATTGTTCGCATCACGCATAGTTAATATCTTTTCCAGCGAGCAGGCCGCATAGCTGTGCACCACAATGCTCTCGGCGGGCAGGTGCCGAATGAGATGTGGCAAACAGCCTGCCAAAGTCTGGGGTCCCAGCAGACTGCGAAAGACCATCACATACTTTATAGAAGCTGCTTTAAGCACGGGCAGTTCATTCACTGTGCGGAACAAAGAGAGAGAAAGGAGAAATGCTAAATGTCAACTCAACTCTGATATATATGCGTAGCCTACGGTTTAAGCCAATTACTTAATTACCATTGGGTCGCTCCAGCTCGGGGACAATGTGCTCGGCGCAGAACTGTGGCAAGGGCACCAGCTCGGAGGTTTGGGTAATGCCATGCTTTTGGGTGCCACCGCGCGATGCCCACGAGGTGACCAAATAGATGGCCGTATCTTTTGAACGCCAATTGGCAACCGGATTCTCTTTGTACTTGTCCAGCAAGATTTGCAGGTATTGGCCAAATATGCCAAAGATCTTCTGCTCGAAATTGATGGAGAGCGTCTTCACCAGATCACAGGCGGCGCGTCGTCGCGTATCAATATCAGAGCCTTCAATATCCCGTCGTATATACTCATCCGGGCTGTCCTCGAACAGCTCCTCGTCGGAGGGGCGTATGTCCAAGTTGGGTATGACAACTTTCTCACAGATGCGCGCCAATATCTCCGGATTCTCAAAGATGCCGTGATAATGCTTGCGCTCTGCGACCACCGAAAGGAATTGCAGTGCATTTGAGACGAGCTAAAGCAATTATAATGTATCATATAATAATGAATTCAACTAAATTATAAATCTTACTCACCGCATCATATTTCGTGTGCAAGCTGGTCTTCACCAGTAATTCCCAGACTGCAGTCACAAACTGTTCCATGTAGGGCTTGAACTCCTCATCGTATTTCCGCGCATACAGACAGATATTCTCACAGACCTGGGAGCGCAGATGTTCCAAGACGCCGGCATCTTCGTCATCATCGGTGCGTAGAATGGCGACATCAACTGCCAGCTGCTGTAGGAAGGCGCCCATCCAGGTGCTCATGTTGTCCTCAAAGAACTCGGGCAGATCCTGTGAGTTAAGCGAGAAGAAGACCTTGTTGACCAGCACCAGAGAACTGTAAATGACCTTCAAGGCCTCGGCGTTGCCTTCGTGCAAAGTGGTCAGCTGCATGGTGGCCTGCAGCAGTTCCGTCAATGGCTTGGCCATCCGGTCCAGCACAAACTTGATCTCCTCCCATAATGCTTGCGATTTAAATTCGTAGCGATAGCGCTTGAAAAGCGAATGTGCGGTTTGTAAAATGCCGTTGATTACATTGAAATCACCGGAGGCGAATTTCTCCACCATTTCGTCGATCAGCTGCGGCCATTTCTTTGGAAAATCATGTTTTCCAATGATGCTCACCGCATCGCTCAGCTGCTTCTGCAGCGCCGTCGGCGAATGCAACATCAATGTGACAATCAGCGTTTTGATTGTGTTGCGATCGGTCGCGTGTATTCGATCCGGCTCGTCGCTGTCCTCGTGCGCGGCCCAGTTGCGTTTGATGTAATTCTTGAATGCAATGGCGCCCGCAACTCGTATGGTCATGTCCATGGTGGCCTTATCGATTAGGTTGAGCAGAAGAACCGGATAATTCTGCTGCAACTCTGTTGATTCCAACAACTTTTCGGCTGTTTATAGAAAAAAAATAAAAACATGTTTTATTCTAGATATATACAACCGTACAAAATTTGTTCGTAAGAGATTAAAAGAGAAAGAGAGTTACTCGATCAGCAATCTCATTTTTGCCGTTGATTTGATGAACCCGCTAAGGTACCGCCGTTTTCCCGCGCTCGCACCAATTCGATGTTGCTCTCTCTTTCTCTCTCTCTCTCTCTTAAGCTTACACACACATACTTACCAGGTCTACGGACATTTGGATCTGCGCTAAGCGTCTGTTGCAAATAGCCGGCAAGCAATTGCAAATTGGCGTCTGTGACCTCCATTTTGTTAATTTCTATTTATTTATTTATATATATATATATCACGTTGGCTTTTGCGTTTTTGATAAGTCTTGTTTAACACTACTTTACAACATATAACGAAATTGCGCACACAAAGCGTAAGCGACCAAGCGTTGTGCGAAACGGTGGAATGACGAATGTGCAGATGGAAGTGATGGGGCGTTTAAGCGATGAACGATAAGTAGGGCTATCGTTACAAGTTAGAGAAATACATCGAGCATTAGACAAAAGGTTGTTTATTTATGACTATCGATAAATAACTGACAATGCTTTTGAATATTTGCAGGAAATAATATCCGAAGGTCTTGGCATGGTTATTCAAATTGCAAACATAATTTTTTCGGTTTTATTGCCGGTGGTAATAATACATCTCAAAGGATCTGCATTTAGCATAAGTGAGTAATAAAAAGAAATATATGTTTTATGTATATATTAATATATATTTGTATATCTATAGTGGGTGCAACTACTGTGTGTTTCTACTATTCCGTACTGTTCCTTAAGCTCTGGAGTTACGTGCAGACTAATATGTGGTGTCGGAAGACCTATTACCAAAGGCAGCCACGCGAAAGACGACCAAGTATTACGGTAGCAGAGCTGAGTAAGTGCTGAGTAATTCTTGTTTAACAACAAACATTATAATTAATTTCTTATTTCTAGAGAGAAAGCATTCGTCTGGTGGCGAGGATGATGAAGATGTAGCTAAGTTGGTTCAATATCCCGAAAACTTATGTTACAAGGATATTATGTACTTTTTGTGCGCACCAACTCTTTGCTATGAATTGAATTTTCCACGCACTTCGCGCGTCCGCAAGCGTTTTTTACTGAAACGTTTGCTGGAAGTGCTGATTGGTGTAAATGTTTTGATGGCCTTGTTTCAACAATGGATTATACCCTCAGTGCGCAACTCTTTGATACCATTCTCCAACATGGATATGGCTCTGGCCACAGAACGTCTGCTGAAACTTGCAGTAAGTACAGATTTTTTTATATATAATGATTTACATAATTTGTATTTTTTTTTTTTTTTTATTTATTTTTTTTTTTTTATAGCTTCCCAATCATTTAGTCTGGCTGATCTTCTTCTATCTGCTGTTCCACTCTTTTCTGAATGCCATTGGCGAAGTGCTATATTTCGCAGATCGCAATTTTTACTGTGATTGGTGGAATGCAAACAATATTGACACATTTTGGCGTACCTGGAATATGCCGGTGCATAGGTGGTGCGTGCGTCATCTATATATACCCGTTGTACAAATGGGATATTCGTCCCGCCAAGCATCCACAATTGTATTCCTATTCAGTGCCTTTTTCCATGAGTATTTGGTAAGATCTTTTATGCATACTATAAATTTCGATTTACAATTTAATTTTGTTACAGGTTTCAGTGCCATTGCAAACGTACAAGATTTGGGCTTTCCTCGGCATGATGGGTCAAATACCGTTATCAGCAATATCTAGATATGTTGAGCGTCGTTTGGGTCCGCGCATGGGAAATATTATTGTTTGGGCATCTATTATATTGGGACAACCATTGTGCATTATGGCCTATTATCATGACTATGTCATTACACATTATCAGAATGCACTTAATGGCACTGAACACAGGTAGACTTTGAGTAATATTATCTGGTCCGTACTTTTCTCTAATTATAAGCCAAATGCAAGTTGAGGAAACTTGAATGCCACATCCAAGTCATGCATAGTACTGAGTAACACAAATCTATTGTTATTTTATGCATTTGTTAATGATCTTAAGCTTTATGTAAATAAAGAGAATGGATTTTGTATATCTGAAAAATTTGTATTTTTGTACCTACTCTTTTAAACTAGTTCCTGAGGCCGATATCATATTTCGTGCTTTGTCGAGCAGCTGTAGTTGAGACGCGATATTTCACCCCTGACGTGTTCTATCGATGTTTTGCCTTGAACTATCGATAAATGGTTGCTCTACTTATTTTTTCTCTCCTCCACCAGCACCAAGCCAAAACATATTTGAGTTATTTTTCAGAAGAAAACCAAGTGACTTGTAGTTGAAACTACAAATTTGTGTGCGCGTGTTAAACTAGCTAAGTGCACTTAATAACTCCCGCAATTGTGTTAAAGATAGACATCATATTGCTTAGGTAAGCGCGAATACCAATTGCAAATTGGTCAATAGCTCATCGGCGTTTTCGCGACGCCCGGCACAGACACACATACACATACACAGTCAACATAAGCAAGTACACGTATATACGCATACGCACGCAAAGGTTTTTGGTAAATGTGTGAGTGTTGCTCGTGCTTAGAAAAGAAAATTTTTTATCGGTTGCAAAAGGCGCAAACTGTGCGAGTGAAAAGCGCAACGCTTTAAATTAAAATGCTTGTAATTTCCAGAAACGTTTGGCGTTGTCAGCAGCAGCGACTGCTACAATTCGGGAAATCATCAGCGGTCTACAGCAGTTCAAAATCGACACAAAACCCAACTAACTTAACTAGTGCCAACAGCAACGACAGCGATCCGGCAGCAGCAGCCCCAACAGCGGCAGCAACAGCAGCAGCAGTTTGTAGTCACGTAAGTCTGGCGCGCCGATTAGCACAAGGCACAAATCTCATGGTTTCGTTTTCGTTATTTCTTGCTATAGATCATGAGCGGTCGCTATCGAGGAGGAGGCGGAGGAGGTGGACGTTATGGTGGTGGAGGTGGCTACGGTGGAGGCGGCGGCGGTGGTGGAGGGGGTGGTTACAACGACTTTGATAACTATAGGGGCGGAGGCGGCTGTGGAGGGGGCGGCTATAATGACAATTTCGGCCCTGGTCCAAATCCCTTCAACAGTAAGTAAATTATTTCAATAGGAAACTAAAAATTGCAACAATAATCAAGTCTGACAGTCGACAAAAATGTCAAAAACGATATTGTTATCGGCTGAGGTGATTATCGAGAATTATATAAATAACATGTCATATGGCTGAAGTGATTTATAATAGAGCTTTTAATGGCTTGCAAAGCACACAAAAATGATCATTTTAATATTCTACTTGACTTCTAAATATTTCTTAAAGAAAATATATATATTTTTTTAATTTGTCGAGATGTAGTAGATATAGGTTTTACAGGAAAGCTAAGCTTAAATATAGGTTTAATATATCAAGAAGGGAGTTTTGAAAATGTATTTACTTTCTCAGTGGGTCCCAATATCTCAGGCAACGATCTGATGCAGCTGATGAGCGCCATGGCCAGTAATTTTAGCATGAACTCACAGCCCCCACAGCCAATGCGTCAGAGCTGTGGAGAGTTGAGGAATCATCACTGCGGCATGTTTGTGGAACTCTCAGGGCGTCTGTTCAAGAAGCGTGTAAATCGTTTCGCTGAGCTGCGCGATCGTAATGGTGGCGCTTGTCAGCTGGTTGTGCTGGAGGACAAACATCCACGAGTGGCACGACGCATGAACAACATGCCAGAGAACACAACGCTCACAATTGTGGGCCAGGTGATGCGAAGACCACACAATTCGTGTAACCAGACCATGCCTACAGGTGAAATCGAAGTGGAGGTGCAGGACATACTCAGCATACATTTTCCGGCTAGCGGAACGAAACGCGCCGGCGATAAACGCACCTACAGCACCATGGCACAGCAGCAGAGCAGCCTGGGCATCACCAGCACAGAGTACAAGATTGCCAGTGAGTAGATAAATTGATAACTCAAAAAAAATCTACTTAACCCCGTAACTCCTTTTGCAGAGAATGAGAATATCTTGAAATACTTTGAGAATCGTGATCTCACCTGTAATGATCTGCGGCGAGATGATGTTGGTAAAACAGTCACCTTGGTGGGCTGGATACCATCGACAAAGAACAACAAGTTCTTGCAACTAAAGGATGGCTACGGACAGACTCAGCTGATGATCGAAGATCAATCTGTGAGTATATATAAACATTTTCATTAGATAATGACTATGACTAGGAATGCAAGAATACAATTTTTATATGTATGCATGTAGAGTTTGTTTGTGAATATTTAATTTTCCAGAAGATATTTTAATATAGAAGTTAGAGATACTCTTATAAATATATCATATATTTATATAAATTATTTGCTTAATCAAAACATCCTTTTTTTTTATGCAGCTGATGGACACCTTTATGTCCACACCGGAGCAAACTGTGCTGCAAATTGTTGGAAAAGTGCTCGGAAGGCCGAAGGCAAACATAAATTTGGTAAGTGAATAAAAGAATTTAAAGGTCGAAAAATATATTAATATAACTTGTTTTTATCTGTAGAAATATGACACTGGCGAAGTGGAAGTTAGTGTCACCAGTGTGAAAGTGTTAAATCCCGATGACCCCTACGAGGGTCCCATCAAGGTTAAGGAGAAAGTACAGAAGATGTCCATTGATGATCTCGAGGCCGATGAGGCCGCAGCAGCTGCTCGCAACGTAATCAACGCCAATAATGGTGAGGGCGATGTGGATGGCGGTGAAACGAGCGCACCGAGCACAGTTCAGGCTTGCGTCGAGCAGCAGCGTCAGAAGGTGGCGGATACAAACAAATTTGCAGATCGCACGCACAACTGTGGCGAACTGACTTCGAATGACATCAACGAAAAGGTCGTCGTTTGCGGCTGGCTGGAATTTCAACGCATGAACAAGTTTTTCATACTGCGTGATGCTTATGGCCAAACGCAGGTGCTGATTTTGCCCAAGACAAAGGGGCTGGAGGAGTACGCTGAGACAGGTGTGCCCATTGAATCGATTGTGCGCGTCGAGGGCACCGTTATTCCGCGTCCAGCAGCCACCATAAATCCAAAAATGACCACAGGACATGTTGAAATCGAGGCCGACAAGATCGACGTACTGAACGCGGCCAAAAAGAATCTCCCCTTCGAGATACGTAAATTTAATCGCGCCGGTGAACGCTTGCGCCTCACGCATCGCTACTTGGACTTGCGTTTCAATGATATGCAGCATAATTTGCGGTTGCGCTCGGCGGTTATAATGCGCATGCGCGAGTATTTGATTAACTACTTGGGCTTTGTGGAGGTGGAGACGCCAACGTTATTCCGCCGCACGCCCGGCGGTGCCCAGGAGTTTGTGGTGCCCACACGCAAGGCGGGTCACTTTTATTCGCTGGTGCAGAGCCCACAGCAGTTCAAGCAGATGCTGATGTCCGGCGGCATCGATCGCTACTTCCAGGTGGCGCGCTGCTATCGCGATGAGGCCACTCGACCGGATCGTCAGCCGGAGTTCACGCAGCTTGACATTGAGTTGTCGTTCACTAGTCGCGATGATATAATGCAACTGATTGAGGAAACGTTGCGCTACTCGTGGCCCAAGCACTTGCCCAAGCTGCAAACGCCATTTAGGCGCATCACCTACGAAGAGGCCCTGGAGAAATATGGCACCGATAAGCCGGACACACGATTCTGTTTCCTGCTTAACAACGTCTCGGACATTATCGAGAAGAGTGAAAACTTTAAGGGCAAATATAATGACTTTAGCGCCTATGCCATTGTGGTGCGCGCCAGCGAAGCCTTCTGGAATGGAGCCGCACGCAAGCACTACGAGAGCCTGAGCAAGGCCTTCTCGGGCACGCTGTTCGTGCGCAAATTCAACTTTGCCAAGGACGTACAGGAGAGGCTCACAAAGCTGCTGGGCACCGAGGTGGCCACTGAGATTATTGAGAAATTTGATTTGGAGGAGAACGATTTACTTTTCCTGTGTATTGGACCCAAAGACGAGACGGTTAGTAAATTTTTACTATTTGTTTCATACGATACTTAACTTCATCATTCTCCACAGCGTAATCTCCTGGGTCGCATTCGAGTAGACTACCACGATTTCCTTGTAGAGAATGTAAAAACCAAGAAACCCAACGAGTATCGCTTCCTGTGGGTTGTAGACTTTCCCCTGTTTGAGCGCAATCCCGTTACAAATCAGCTGGAGAGCGTGCATCATCCGTTCACGGCGCCGCTTGTTGAGGATCTGGATAAGTTTGCCACCAGCTGTGACAATCTGGAATCCATACGGTCCGAGGCATATGATTTGGTCCTCAATGGTCAGGAAGTGGGCGGTGGCTCTATGCGCATTCACGACCGTGACATGCAGCAGTTCATATTGGAGCAAGTTCTCAAAATACCCCACGATCATCTGGCGCATTTGCTCAGCGCTTTGGAGTCTGGCTGTCCACCGCATGGTGGCATTGCACTAGGCCTTGATCGTCTTATAGCTATATTGTGTCGTGCGCGTTCGATACGCGATGTGATTGCATTCCCCAAGTCACTCAATGGACGGGATCCGCTCTCTAATGCACCTGTCCCCATTTCAGAGGAGGATATGAAACTCTATCACATCAATATACAGGAGACTGAAGCCGAAGAGGACAGCACAGGCAACAACGATGCCGCGAACTCACAGGAGGATGATGATCCAGATGCAGTGCGCGCCCCACCGTCGCCCATGTCGGGCACCAGCGACACGGAGCACACCTCGATGGATGTTGATGTGAAAAACGAGCCCACTGACGAATTGAGAGCGTCAGCGCCAGCGCCAGTGGCAGTGCCAGTGCCAGAATCCACAAGCACAAACGATAAAGCTGATGAGGCAGCATCGCCAGCAGCAGAGTTGTTGGAACCAGCCATAAAAACAGAAGGTGTTAACGCAGCATCCGCCGTGGCCGAAACGTCAGAGCCGACAGCAGATACGACCTCAGCTGCACCTGTGACGCGTGGCAAACGCATGATCAAGAAGAAAGTGTAGGCCGCATCAGATCACTGGCGACAAGAGCAGCAGCGGATTAGCGATACGGCTTAGCATTTCATTCATAAGCTCAAATAATGAATCAAGTAGTGGCGTTGCATGAAGTCACCAAACACCAATCAAGATGTCACCTTTCGATTGTAAGATGTAGTTCGGTACCGCAACAGGAGGCAGCTCCTATCAAATTGTATTGTAAATGCCAAATGGGCTCCATTCAGTGTCTACTGGCTTAGTTACCCCATCTATTATCCACTCCCATTGCGGACGCACCTCACGCGCACGCCCACCAACATTCGTAAGTCCATTATTAATTATATATATATATACATATGGCGATTTATTACAATTTACAATATAATTATATACGAACTGCTATTGTATTGCGATTTGTTTAAAAATACAATAAATCAATCAATAAGAAATATGTATGTATTTACTAATATTTATATGTAGTAGGGGTAGCCATTATAGACACAACATTAAATTTTTAATTTTTACTTTACTCCACATTGACTACTTACACCTAGGGGAATATTATATTTGATCAAATTAATACTACTATTATTTTAAGTTCAGTTAAATTATCATTACTTGGAATGTTATATGCATGGGAGAGTCTTTCAGATCCTCTATGGGTTATGGGGCAAGGGAAGGGAACTAAGCATTTGTGGTGTGTGGTTAGTGCACGTTCGGCGTGCTGAATATATCGTTGTCTATGTAGCCATAGGTAAGATTGCGCCTGTAATCCCACCAGTTTAGTGGGTTCCTCAGCTGACGATCATCCGGCAGCTCTGCAAAATCGCCCGAGCCTACATCCTGCTCCTCGATGGAGTCATCACTCTCGCTTTCCCCAATTTGTGGTGGACTGTAGCTGGTCCAGTGCTCATAGAGGTCGTGCGTATCTGGTGTGCTTGGCAGATTATTGAAATTGTAGGCCAGCTTGCCGAACGGATCGATGTGCTGCAGCAGCGGATCAACAGCCTGCATTGGTATGCGATGCGGCAGCGGAGGTGTGCGTGGACGCTTGACACCAAGCGTGGGCAGATCCGTCCACTTGCCCAGCGCATAGGGCGAGGTGTCGTTGGTGTCTATCAGAAACATGCCACGCGTGCCGGGCCGTACATTGTCACCGGCCTCCAGCAGATAGTTTGTGGGCGGACACATGCCCAGCAGGTAGGATATGTAGCTACTGCAGGCCCAGCCCCAGAAGCCCTTGGGCGAGCGTATGGACTCGAGGTAATATGCATTGGCGCGCTGATGGCTGCAGGCAAAGGAATCTACAACGAATATTCGCGAGTTAATTAAATCGCTGCTCTTCCCTTTCAGATTTGTACTCACTCATCCACTGTGGTCCCGAGCATCCCGGCTGCGAAATGCCGCCATTCATATAGAAATCAGCATGACCGCAACGCTCCAGCTTGCCCTGCACCAGGGCATTCGTGTGTATCACGTCCACAAATGCCGCATCGCTGGGATCCAACTTGTCATTGAGGCCGGCGGTAATGAACAATGGCATCGCAGGATCCAGTCCGGTGATGCGCGGCAGCTGAAATGATTTCAAATTGCGTGCTATATAGTTGGGGACCTGGGCGCCCAGCGAGAAGCCAATGATGTGTATATCCGTATTGTTCATCTCCACCAGACGCTCGATCAGCTGCGCCGTACAGGCGCCCGTCTGCCGCGTATTGTGTACGGCGCTTATGTAGCAAGGGCCCGGCGCCAGCACACTCCAGTCCACATAGATTATGTTGTAATCACCTTTGGCTAGGTATTCTATAAATGATTTTAATCGAGTTTAGGTATCTGTATAACTAAATGTTTTTCGAGTATGGTTGAAGGTTGTTTGGAGGTAAAAAGTAATTGCTCTATAAACTCTCGATTCTATTCTATATTATTATTATTTTTTATGTGCAAAAAATATAAAAGCTCTCGTCCTTAGGTATAAGGTTATTTGCATTTAGGTTAAGTACATTTTGAAATAGAACTTGGGCATCATCAATAGGGAAGAGACGCTTCCTAAAAAAGTAAGTCAAAACTTTATTTTATTGCAATATATCTGCAACACTTTCCTATATTTTAAATATAATTTTTTGTCTTAAATATATATTTCTGAACATATATAATCCTATCTATTTCTATATAGAATTTTTTGTTGTGTATATTGAGAAATAAAACTATACCGTGATATATTGATCTATAGAGCTATATCTATTGTGTATAGATCTTTATTCCTCTTCTATCTATAAAATATTCTTTATTCAATATTCCAGAAGCGAATCAGCTTGAAATTCAAATTCTCGAAAATTCCATACATCTCATTCATAATCATATTCACATTGTTCACTCACCATCTCGCATTTGTTGCAACGGACTCAGGAACATATCGGAGTTGTAGCCATGTATGAGTATTTTGGTGGGATTTCTTGGATTGAAGTTGGAGTTGGTGAGATTCGATTGCTCTGCGGACTCGCCAATGTGCAGATTCTGACGATCCATGACATTTTGACGCGTGTAAATATAGTATTTGACATCAGGATCGGGACAGCTGCGTCCAATGGCCCATTTACAGGGTCCGATAGTGATGTCTCGACTGGCAACGGGTTTTGCGGTCACCTCATCCAATTGTGGAGCAGACTGTGTAACGAAATCAAAGACCGAGCCGCCCTGGCAAATGGAGGCTGGAGAAAGATTGCAATTCAGTGTGACACTAGGGCTAAGACTTTTTGGTATTTACCTGAACACAGGCAAGCTATGGCCAGCAGCCTGTAGTAGTTCATCTTGCACGCTGTTTATATTTATTTCTCGAATTAATAATAATTAAAGCGTTGCGGCGAGCTGTGCCTGCTCCGTAAATGTTGGAGAAACTGAATGCCGGCCTTCAAGCCGATGACCAATTTGGCCAATGTGCTGGGCAGTGAGTGTAAGTGTGTGTGCGTGTATGTGTGTGTGTAAAGTGAGAGTTGAGCATAAAAAAAGTGAAAACATTGAGAGTCAGAGGATTAGCTAACTGTGAATTCAACTGCTGAGAGACCAATGCAGACCTTAAGTTTATCTGCATTTACACACACACATATATTTATATACATATATATGCTACGTACGTGTTTGTTGTTTCAATAAGTGCGCAACGTATAAAAGTTAAGCACGTCGCACAACAACAACAGAAAAGAAGCGAACGATCGCTGAGTGCTGCTTGTCTTCTGCTTTTATAGCGCTCAAACCCTTAAGACGTATGTACACACATACATATGTGGAGCGTCGGGTCTATGGGCTTACGGCTTTGGAGCTCAAAGATAATGCCAGTTAAATACAAATATTTGATTCCCGACCCACGTCAACATACTTAAAATTGGGCTTGTTTTTTGTTTATCCGCTTGGAATCGCGGGCAACAGCTGCTAACCTAATTGGAGCACTGGGGGATTATTAGTGGTATGTGCGAGCTATACAATTGATTTATTAATTGATTTTAGATTTCATTTCTAGTTCTGGCCAATTTCTATCATTTCTCAATTTATTAGCGCTGCGTGTGGCTGCCAACGCCCACAGTATGTGTATATTCTTTATAGAGTGTATATTTAGACATATAAATATATCTACAGATAGCTATGTATATGCACAAGTCTGTATAGCTGTATAGCTGCTGTCTATATTTTCAGGGGCACTAATAATCTTTGCGGCATGGAATGTCAAGCAGTATGGAAACTAATAGAACAAGCATTAGTGCCTAAGCGAGCGACATCTATGACATTCTCACTCTCCCGCTCTCTCTCTCAGCTCTGAGGGAGATGATCTTATAGCCAGGCAGCATCCATTAATTTATTTATAACTTAGTTTAGCAACATTGTCAAATTTATGAAGACTTTTCAAGTTTGACACGCGCTACAAGTTTAACTATATCTGGAAATATATATAAACATATCATATGAACTACATACATACAATTTAAAGACATACTACTTAGTGGAGCACCTTATAGGCTTATTGTTGGGTTTAATACTTTTTGATAAATCAGGTTTGTATTGACTTCTTTGACAAAGTATTTTCGGATACCTAAAATCATACAGCAATTTGAGCAAGCCCCTACCATCTTTAGCTATTATGCGTATAATCTCTAGTTGCAGTACAATCCTGGTATTAGTTGGATAATAATTCAGTTTTTTTATCAAAAAAGATTGATGCCTACATCGGCTGGAAGGGTATTATATTAAATCGGTGTGTCCTCAGCTTTTGGAGTCTCCTCCGCTTTTGGGATTTCCTCGATTTGTAGAGTCTCGTCAGGTTTCAAGGCTACCTCAGCTTTCGGAATCATCTAATCTTTAAGACTTTCATCGACTTTCGGGGCCTCTTCAACTTTCGGAGTCTCATCATCGTTCGGTATCACTTTAGCTTTCAAACTCTTCTCAGCTTTCAGAATTTGCTCATCTTTCGCAGTTACCTCATCTTTCAGATCTTTCGCGAGATCCTCCTCTTACAGGATTTCCTCCTTACACGCGAGCCAGCCGATAGATGGGCATGTCCATATCGATTGGGCTGTTAATGTCGATTACAGGAATGTACAGTGCTAGAGTAATGTACTCGTATAGTTTTGTTTTTTAAAAGAGATATGTTTAATATGCATTTAGTTCTATGACTATATTAAAAATAATATATACATACACATTTATATGATTGAGATATTTCTCTGATTGTTAGCTGTAACGGCTGTTATGTAATGTTATGTTATGTTTTTTATGTTATTTGTTTACTGTAAATAAATATTAAAAATAATTAAATTTCTATTTAGAAACATACATACATACATATATCCCATCCTTCTGCCTTTCGCTGATATTTTAATTAAAATTTAAATATTTTGTATTCTTCCAGTCTAAAACTGTTCAATTTCAAAGTGCATCTCAAACAGCATGAAAGACTCCAATATCAATTGCCAATTGCATATGAAAAACTTTGAAATCAGAGCCGTGTAACGCCGGTCAATACCTGGCAATGAGTAATAGATTGTTGACATTCTCTGCGTCTAATTCGCTAGAGCGGAAATCTGTAAGGTCAAGGCGTTAGACGCCTGGGGTGTGCGCTGCTATCATTTGCTTGGTGGACGTCACAGTGTGCTCCACATCGAGGCGGGGGCTTATCAGCTGCTGCTCGGCTGGCTGCCTCCGACTTCGATGCCGAGACGTAGTACTAGTGCGCTGGGACTGGCGAGCGGATGAGCGAAATGCGCTGGCAATGGCAGCTGCCGATGCTGCTGATGGCTCTGCGCCTGGCACATGGCGAAGGCACGACAGCAACTGGAGAGCAGGAGGACGAGGCGGCCAAGTTTTTCACTCGCCTGTACAAGCGAAATCTGCAGCAGCTGGTGACACTGAGAAATGCGAGCGCGGATCCCTGTGATGATTTCTATGCACATGCGTGCGGCAACTTCGGACAGCTGGAGCAAGCGCCTGATCCAGATGATGCACTGCCTCCGTTTTTGTACAACATGCAGGATCGCATGCAGTTCTTTGAGCTGTACTATGAAAGGTTTGAAACTCTGCCGGGCAAGCTGCTGGCTGAGCTGTATGGCGAGTGCAGGATGCGAGGGCAGCAGCACACCCACCTGGAGCACATGCTGGAGCAGGTGCCGTTTCTAGCTGCCCACCAGGAGGTGCTCACCGGCTGGCCCTTCCTGCGCCACCAATGGCAGCGCCGGCAGCTGGACGAGCAGCTCAACTGGATACAGCTGGCCGCGCAGCTGGCGGCGCACGGTCTGCCCACACTGCTGCACATTTACTTTGCCGAGCAGGCCATCTATGTGGCGCCTATAGCGGAGCTGCCCTGCCCCAGCCAGCGGCAGTTTCAGGTGAGCATGTCGGACGTGCTAGCAGGCCGCCATACCCAGGTGGGGCACATTGTGGCGCACGAGATGCGCATGCTGTGCCGCGGGATGCGCGGTGAGCTGCCCCTGGCCACCAGCTTGGCCGAGGGCAAGCGAGGACGGCAGAGCACGCCGGCGCCGGGACAGGAGCAGCTGGAGCTGGATGACAATACCATGGACTATATGCAAACGTTCTTTGGCCTGCTGAACTTTACGGCGCAGCAGCTGGTAACGGCTCGCAAGCTGCCCCTGGATGTGGCGCACATCACGCGGGCGTGGAGCGTGCTGCGCCAGACGGAGCCGCGCATCGTCTACAACTATGTGCTGTGGCAGGCGCAGCAGCGCTTGGCCTACGGGGACTGCTACGAGCTGGCCACGGAGTTCGAGCGGCTGCTGCACGCCGAGTACTGGCAGTGGCACGTGCTGGCGCCACAGCTGACGCGGGACGTGGCCTTGGCCATGTACCAGCTGCACACGACGCGCTTCCAGAAGCGCCGGCGCTCCACGCTGGGCAGCCGGGACTGGTACGGGCATCTGTGGCCGGCGTCTGTGGAGCGCCGTGAGCTGCAGGTGGCACGGCTGCTGCAGGCGCATGCGCAGCACTATCTGAACATCAGCGAGCTGACGTCGTGGTATGGCCAGGTGCACTTCCGGCCGTATCACTTCTACGGCAATCTGCTGCAGCTGCGACACGCTCAGCTGCGGCACAGCTTCCAGTCGGCCTATGTGGATGCAGAGGACGTGCAACAGTCCGCCTACTTCCTGCGCCACTTCCTGCACTTTGTGCTGCTGTCGCTGCATCGGCCCATGTATCACTACTACGCCACGCAGGGCCTGGAGCTGTGGCGCGACTCTCGCCTCCTGCAGGACACCGACGGCTACTACACGGCGCTCGACTGCCTGGAGCGACAGACGCAGCAGCTCTACGACGCCCAGCAGGCGGCCATCTATCGCCCCTTGAGTGCGCATGAGGTGGCCGATGTCTTTCACTTCCATCGCTCGTTTCAGGCCGCGCTGCGGGATTATCGCTTCTGGCTGGAGGGCGAGCGATTCGTCTTTGCCGAACAGTTTGTGCTGCAGTACTTCGGCCTCGACGAACATCGCGTACTCTTCTATGCGGTTGCCCAGCAGCTGTGCAACCGCCAGGACGAGATCTTTGCGGCCCAGCTCAATCGGGGCTACATGAATCTGCCAGAGTTTCAGGCTGCCTTCAAGTGCGGGCCGGAGGCACAGATGAATCCGCCGGCTAAATGCATGATCAACCGATGTGAATAGCCAATTGGAATCTCTGAGAATTTATGTTATTTAAGATATGTACATAATAACCGAATATATATTTTAGATACAAATGTTAATTAATATACTATATATGTATATGCTATGGAAGGGCTATAAACTCTGTAAAATAAATATAAATTAAAGTAGTGTTAAAATGTTTGAAAGTGCGAGAAGAGTGCGAATAAATAAATTAATTGTAAATGCAATTTAAATGTTTGAACTCAATCATTTTATCGATAGGCCTACATACACATTAATGAATGCATAAATTCCAAATAGGTATATAAACTTCATTTATTCTCAAAATATTTTTATTTTATATTAT